CTCCTTCAGGTACAAGCTCTCCCTCCTCTGTGAGGGCAGATCTATGCGCTCCCCCCCCCATAGCTAGCAGTCCAAAACAGTCCAGTGGCACCTTTAAGGCCAAGTTTTATTCAGGTACAAGCTCTCCCTCCTCTGTGAGGGCAGATCTGCGCGTTTCCCCCCCCCCATAGCCAGCAATCCAAAACAGTCCAGTGGAGCCTGAGCGTTGGGTGTTGCCTTCTGACACAGTTCCGGTGATGTCAGGGGGTGTGGCATATGCAAACAAGTTATGCTAATAAGTTATGCTAATGAGCTCCTGCACCTCTTTTTCTATGAAATGACCCCTGTACAACTCTAATAAGTAACCCATCAGCATTTCAGGCAGAAGGTCTGCTTAAGAGGATACTCTGCGTAGCCCTCCGGGTACAATTTTGTTTCTGCCGGAATTTCAGTATTGAGTTAAGGTTTTCCAGTGCCACCTCTGAACGCCTATAAACTAATGACAGGAATCCAGCACCTATTTAGGAAGATTAAACCAGCAGATTATTTTAAGTGGGATAATGAGGCCAGTAATTCACAAGATACATAATTGAATGCTTTAAGCCGAAGTCCACGTTTAACCCTCCCACACACAAAAAAATCCAAGGATTCTTGTATTTCAAGACCTGGTCCTGGAGAAAGTAAGCAGACTTGAACATGCAGACATACTAATCTGCCATAATTTAAACAAACTGGGGGAAAGCACTTCAGAACATCTTTGCCAACATCGTGAAGTTATTTTTAAACTGGCTGATAAGGGAGGTGCAGCTGTAAGTGTGGGACAGAGAAGACTGTGGCTGTGGTCACACTGGTGGCTTGGCGCAATATGGTGCTGCCTCTAATTGAACCGTTTTAAAGTGCCGTGGGACATATCAGCCACACGAACAAAAAGAAAGGAGGGAGGAAGAAAAAAAGGGAGAAGAAAAAAAGGGGGGGGTAAGGGAAAAAAAGAAAACTCAACCCAAAAAGCTGCTATGAATCCACAAGGGTTAAGCTGACATTACATATAATAAACATACAAAATTTATTAAGGTGTACACATTTTAAAAAGCTTAAAACTCATTTAAAATATTCACAATCAGACCTAAAAAACTTCTCACAGCACTAACCCATTCATGCGCATGCATAAGTGCGCATGCACGGACATGCACATAGGCAATTTTTCTAAATGCCTCCCTAGCGGCAGGACAGATCTGTAGGTTCAGACTGCCAAATCTGTTCTGCGTGTGCTCCCTCGTGTTCAGACATCCGGCCATGTGCAATGACTGTGTGGGGAACCGAAAACACCACTTGTGATGTGGTGCCTTTTTAACCCGGCTCCAAGTCGTCCCATGACAGGATAAGTATGGCTGGGGGACGCCTGCTGGATGTGGCTGTTTGACTGCGCCCGTTTGATCCGGAGTGGAGGAGTGGCCATGTCGGGCCAAACTGCCCGTGTGATCACGGCCTATGTTAAAGAGACCATTGAATCATACGGGCACATGATGTTAAGAGTGCTGAAAATCCAAACAAGAGAATTAAGATGGAAATAGTTGAACTTTTGGAGGAGGGCCTAGTAGAGAACTATATTTACAAACCCACGTACAATTTTCTCCTGCAAATGGAAGGCAGGGTGCCCTGGTTTTATTTATTTCCCCAAATACATAAGGGAACACCCCCAGCCCAAGGAGGACCTATAGTATCTGGTTGTGGATCAGTTCCGGAACCTTTAGTTTTCTACGTGGATCTGTTTTTAAAACCACTAGTTCCCAGTATTAGATCCTAATTAAGGGATACAGTGGGTTTTAAAAAACACATTAACAGTATACAATTACATACTGAGGAGGTGTTATTCGTGACAGTGCGTGTTGATTCCCTTCATACCAATATCTCACAGGATGAGGCTTTGGATGTTTTACGTGAGAGAGAGCAGAATTCATATCCAGCTACCTCTTTTCTGTGCCAGATAGTCAAATTATGCCTTAGGAAAATTTTCTTTCTATTTCAGAATAGCATTTTCCCCCCCGGCAAGTTTCTGGCACTGCTAAGGGCTGCAAGTTGGCCAATTTTTAAATGGAGAAATTAGAAAACAACCTTATTCAGGAAAACAACATCTATATGAAATACATTGCCCTTTATAAAAGATGCCTAGATGACATTTTCATTATCTGGGAGGGTACGGAGGAACTACAAACCTGCTTTGGTCAATACATTAACAGTGTCCATAAGACATTTAAACTTGATATGACATATAATAGGTCTAGACGAAAATTTTTCTATGTGGCGCTAAGAAGGTTGGTACCACAATAGAAACTGATGTCTACAGGAAACCTACAGACGCCAATTCCTATCTAGCAGGTGATAGCTTCCATACATATCACTTTAAAAAGAATTTGCCCTATTCCCAACTTTTGAGATTAAGAAGGACTTGTAGTTGTAGTTCGGATCCAGACTTCTACAGACAAGCCCAGGAACTGATTAATCAACTGGCCAACAGGAGGTGTTCATCTAAAACTTTAACTCAAGCCTTTTATAAGGCTAAAAGCAAGATCATCTTTGTTAATACCCAAGGTTAGAAAACAAACTACAGATAGGATGGTTATTACCTTAGTGTGCACAGTCAAGTGAGAGGAATAACACAAAGATAGTGGTACCTCCTGTCTGGTATCCCAAGAGGTAGTTCTCCTCCTCTTTTTACATGTATTTTGCTTAATTTACTTCTCATAAAGTTCCCTCACCCAACCTTTGGGTTACCAACTTTGTTGTTTCCTTGGGCTGTTTCCCCCCCCCCTTCTGTTTTGGTTTGCCAATCACAAAGTGTCAGAAATTGAGGTTACATACAACTCTAAGAGCAACTCTGTCAACATTTCACTCAGGAGTTTCGTTTGACAGGAGACCTTTTAATCTGCACATCAAACTGAGGCCCTGCTGGGCAAAAGCCCCACCAAGCCCTCCCCGCTTTCCAAAAGCACTTGGCGGGAGACAGGAAAGGTGTTGGCAGGTGCCCATGTGCCCATGGGCACCACATTGGGGACCCCAGTGTATGACAATCACCAGTTTGGTGTAGAGAGCCAGTTTGATGTAGAGAGCCAGTTTGGTGTAGTGGTTAAGTGTGCAGACTCTAATCTGGGAGAACCAGGTTTGATTCCCCACTCCTCCACTTGCACCTGCTGATGTGACCTTGGGTCAGCCACAAGCTCTGGCACAACTGTCCTTGAAAAAGAACTGTTTGTGTCAGAGTTCTCTCAGCCCCACCCACCTCACAGGGTGTCTGTTGTGGGGAGGGGAAGGGAAAGGAGTTTATAAGCTGCTCTGAGACTCCAAGTGAAGGGCGGGGTATAAATCCAATCTCTTCTTCTCTTCTTCTGCTCAATATTCACTCAGCTAGCCACAGGGAAGGTTAGGAGGCATCGCGTACCTGTACACTTCAGAAGGTTTGGGGGGCAACCTCTCACCTGGTCCTTGAGATCACGTTTCCCTCGGTTCTCCTCCAGTATCCTCTCTTGCAGGAGGATTTTAAGGAGCTCCCTCGTCAGCAGGTCCTTCATGTTCTCCAAGACATCCGTGAGCACTGGATGGAACGCCTTGGGGGTGTTGTTTGGCTCGGATCTTTCCAAGGATGCAGACGGTAAGCGAGAAGAGCCTGGCATGCTTTTCTTTCCCATAAAATGCCCTGCAAGAACAGCATTATTTATTACTGTTGTAATCAAATCCGAATTCAAAACCTTTAATGACATATGAGGGTAAATTAGAATTGGATACAAACAAGGCTAAGATAAATAAAATCAGATAAAAAAAGTACAATCTAAAAGGTTAAGTAAAGTAATATCAAGAAAACAGGGCCTTAAAAGCAAAATCAGACCATTATTCATTGGCTTTACCTAGAGAAGGATAGCCCTTGTGAAGTACTACCATGCCTGGATCCAACCCTTCTCGAGAACACACTCCCTGTGAAACACTGAATATGGTACCATTTTATTAGATTTTGATTCCTGTGAACTGCATTGAGAATCAATTCTTGGCTGACAAGTAGAACACAAGCCACAAAATACCTTTGTTAAGACTGACCAAATAACACCTAAATGACCTAGATATCCCAGGCTAGCCTGATCTTGTCTGATTGTGGAAGTTCAATGTGAGAGTTGAATGGGATGGTGTTAATGGTGTGGTTTATGTTGCCCAAGACCGAGGGGTCATTGGATTATTTGAAGTAAATACTCTGGGTCGTCCCCCCACTAAAACTCTTAAATGCAATACTTTCCCTGTGAATGTATGGGGGGAAATAAACTAGGAGAAAATGGCAGCTTTAAATGGGAATTGATTGATGTTCACACATGCAACAAGAAGATGGTTTGAAAGGTGGCACACCTACACACACACTTGCTCACATTTGTGAGGATGTAAATGTCAATGGCATCTGAAGGAAATGTCAGAGGAGCAAGCGGCATTGAAGAGATTTGGGGGATCTGGTTCACAGGATCCAGGTTTCAAGACAAGATCAGGCAGGGTTATCAATCACTTCAAGTCTCGGTCCAAGTGGAGACCTGGATTTCATGGCCCCATGGCATCCCTTCCAGTTTTGAATATCACTAGCGATGGAATACACAGGAAGCTGCCTTATACCAGTTTGATGTAGTGGCTAGGAGTGCCGACTGTAATCTGGGAGAACCAGGTTTGATTCCCCACTCCTCCACAGGTAGCTGCTAGTGTGACTTTGGGTCAGTCACAAGTTCTCTCAGAGCTGTTCTCTCAAGGGCAGTCCTCAAGAGAGGCCCTTCAGGGTGTCGTTTTTTTAAACAATTTTTATTAGGATATATCAATAAGTCAAATTATACATCACCATACAAACTGTCATATCTCCTTTTCTCCTAATTACCCACCCCTTCTGGCTTCCCACAGTGCTCCAACCTCCAGCCCAAGTCTTGTGCTTCCCTCTTTTCCCACTTGTTCCTTGATCAAATTCTACAGGTAACATATCTTTTAACTATAGCTCTTATAAGTTTAAACTTATTCTAAATAACATTCTTTTTTCAATAGTTATCAAAGCCAAGTAAGTTGTTTTTTTACATCCCAATATTTCTCTAAGTATTCTTTAAAGTCTTTCCAATCTGCAAAAAATTCTTCTGCTTCTTGATTCTTAAGCTTTCTTGTCATTTTATCCATTTCCGCCATAAAAAGTAACTTTTTTAGCCACTCCCAAATTCCGGGAGTTCCTTCCTGTTTCCAGCATTGAGCATATGTCACTCCTCCACTTGCACCTGCTGATGTGACCTTGGGTCAGTCACAAGCTCTGGCACAGCTGTTCCTGAAAGAGCAGTTTGTGTCAGAGTTCTCTCAGCCCCACCCACCTCACAGCGGTGTCTGTTGTGGGGAGGGGAAGGGGAAGGAGATTGTAAGACGCTCTGGGACTCCTTTAGGTAGTGAAGGGTGGGGTATAAATCCAATCTCTTCTTCTCTCTTTCTTCTACCGAATCTGACCCTTGGTGCATCAAACCCAGTACTGTCTACTCTAACTGGCAACAGGTCTCCAGGGTCTCGGGCAGAGTCTTTTACATCTCCTACCACCCAGTTCTTTTAGGTGGGGATGCCAGGGATTGAGCCTGAGGCCTTCTGCACGTCATGCAAGACTCTACCATTGAGCCACAGCCCTTCCACAGATAACAGCTACAAAACACTTTAGATAGAACTCAATGAAATAAAACAACTACTTTTGTTTGCCTGGTACATTCTTTCCACCTTTCCTCCAAGGAGCTCACATGAGTTTTCCCTTCTCCATTTGATCCTCCCCGTGAGGTAAGGCGGGCAGAGAGAGCGTGATGGGCCCAAGGCCCCCCCCCCAGGCTTGTGTCAGAGCACGGATTTGAACCCGAGCCTTTCAGATCCTGGTCTGTTACTCTAATCCAGTGGTGGCGAACCTATGGCACGGGTGCCAGAGGTGGTACTCAGAGCCCTGTCTGTGGGCACGCGTGCCATCGCCCCAGCCAGGCCCAGACCGTCGAATTCTCTGCCAAATCATTTTAAGTAAATGAAAGCATTTGGGATGGCTTTCCTTACTTTGTTTGGATCATCTTAAGTTAATGTGTGAGTTTTTTTTTCTAAAGTAAAACCTCAGTATTCAGGTTAAATTGCCGTGTTGGCACTTTGCGTTAAATAAGTGGGTTTTGGGTCGCAGTTTGGGCACTTGGTCTCTAAAAGGTTCGTCATCACTGCTCTAATCACTGCACCACAGTGGCCCCCATCGATGGAGTGTTACGGGGAAAGGCGGAATCCTTTATCCCCTTTCAGATTTTTATTTGGAGCTGTCCACCTTCCAAGTGCTGAAACCAGGAACAGCCTGTGCACGGCTGTTAACAGAAAACATGCACCGCTTTTAAAGGCAAGATCATAAAAGTGCATTTGTCTGTCGTTTGGTCAAGGGACACAGTCAACTTCAGCCTGCACTGAAACAAAATCGCGAATAAATACAATGGCTGTTAAGCAGCCAGCCATCTGTAGCTGTCTTGGGGGAATCCTCAGAGAACAACATATTTTAAGCTTTGACTCGCAAAATCTTTATACTCTGAAGCTCTTGTTGGTCTCTGAGGTGCTGCTAAACTCAAATCTGTTCTACTGCAGACCAACACAGAAAAAGAAGATGAAGAAGAGACTGGATTTATACTCCGCCCTTCACTGCCCAAAGGTGTCCCAGAGCGGCTTACAAACTCCTTCCCCTTCCCCTCCCCACAACAACAGACACCCTGTAAGGTGGGTGGGGCTGAGAGAGCTCTGAGAGAAGAAGAAGAGATTGGATTTATACCCCGCCCTTCACTACCCAAAAGTGTCTCAGAGCGGCTTACAAACTCCTTTCCCCTCCCCACAACAACAGACACCCTGTGAGCTGGGTGGGGCTGAGAGAGCTCTTGACACAAACTGCTCTTTTTCAAGAACAGCTCTTATCAGAACTACGGCTTGCCCAAGGTCATCCAGCCAGGTACAAGTGGAGGAGTGGGGAATCAAACCCGGTTCTCCCAGATTAGAGTCTGCGCACTTAACCACTACACCAAACCACTACACCAAACTGGCGTCTCCAGAAAAATATTTTATTGGAGCTTCATAAGATCAGGTATAGAGGATAAGGCTGAAAGGGACCTGTCTCTCCAGCCTATTTAAAGCCACATTCACTTGGAAAGTTTGTACACATATTTTGTATGATTTGTATAAATATAAAATAAATAAATAAAATGGTTTTTTTTAAAGCCACATTCACCACTTTTCACCTCACAACCTCAGCCGCAGCCACCCAGGCTATGATTGAGGGGGACAGAGACGGGATTGAACAAAGCACCCACCATAAATGTGCGCGTGGTGAAGAATTATAGTTAGTAATACATTATCGCTGATGTTGTTGTTGCCATCAAGTCACAGCTGACTAAGGGCAACCTTGTAGGGTTTTCGGGGCAAGAGACATTCAGTGGTGGTTTGCTGTTGCCTGCCTCCATGGCACAACCCTGGTATTCCTTGGAGGTCTCCCATCCAAATACTAGCCAGGGCTGGCCCTGCTTAGCTTCTGAGATCTGACGAGATCAGGTTAGCCTGGGCCATCCAGGGCAGGGCAGGAGATGGACAAAATTGGTTTGCCATTGCCCACCTGTGTGTAGCGACCCTGGACTTTCTTGGTGGTCTCCCATCTAAGTCCTGACCAGGGCCGACCCTGCTTAGCTTCTGGGATCTGACAAGATCAGGTTCGCCTGGGCTATCCAGTTCAGGTGAATACATTATTAATGACTAGAACTCTAGCAGGCAAATGACAGCCTATCGATGGAGGCAAACAATGACACCCAGCAGGGGGGAGAAACAGGTTTTCTAGCAGTAAAAGGTAAAGGTAAAGGTTCCCTTGCTCGAAAGCCATCGAATCCGACTCTAGGGTTGCGGTGCTCATCTCCGTTTCAAAGCCGAAGAGCCAGCACTGTCCGAAGACGTTTCCATGGTCATGTGGCCGGCATGACTAAACACCAAGGCACATGGAACGCTGTTACCTTCCCACCAGAGTAGTACCTATTTATCTACTTGCAATTTCTTGCTTTCGAACGGCTCGGTTGGCAGGAGCTGGAACTAGAGACGGGAGCTCACTCCGTCATGCGGCACCTGGGTCTTGAACTGCTGAACTACTGACCTTCCACAGCCTGCAGTTCAGCATCTTAACCACTTGAGCCACCACAGCTCTAGCAGGGAGCACAGCAAATTAGAACATGCAGGGATGAAGGTTCCCTCCATCTCACCGCCCCCCCCCCCCAGGCACGCTAATTAGTGTGCTCAGGCAGGTTTTCTCATGAGAGTGCTGGACCCATGTACCCATACACAAATCCTAGGGTAACTGGCCATTGAGCCTTTGGGAAAGGGACCGTGTGGTGTAATGGTTAGAGTATTGGACTAGGAAGAGAGCCAGTTTGGTGTAGTGGTAAAGTACGGTGGACTCTAATCTGGAGAACCGGATTCGATTCTGCACTCCTCCACCTGAAGCCAGCTGGGTGACCTTGGACCAGTCACAGTTCTCGCAGAGCTCTCTCAGCCCCCAAAATAAGTCAAGCTCACTAAAAAGAGTTAGAACTTAAGACTGCCAGACAATTGTTTGATCTCCTGGCTATACCACATGCAATGCCATACAATCGCTGTTGTTAGACTAGGATTTGGAACACCTGGGCTGAAATCCCTCGCCGCAGGGAACACTGTTTCCAGGTTGACCCCGACCTGGATGGCCGATCCTGTCAGATCTCGGAAGCTAAGCAGGGTGGGCTCTGGTTTGTACTTGGATGGGAGGCCACCAGGGAAGTCCAGGGTCACTACAGCAGAGGCAGGCAATGGCAGAACCACCTCTGTCTGTCTGCCCTGACCCCTGCCCAGGCTAGCCTGATCTCATCAGTTCTTTGGCGGGGGCGCCCTCGTGCGTATTTGGGCGACCACCCCAAGGAAGTCCAGAGTCACTATGCAGAGGCAGGCAGTGGCGAGCCACTTGCTGGCCCTTTCCAACATCCCCTTATGGGGGCCACCGACTCAGATCACAGGTGCAGTGCAAGCAGAGAGGGCAGGTTTAAGGCCCCACTGCCTCTTACACACACCATTCCCCCAACCTGATAAAGTCCCCAGGGAACCACTGGGTACCCTGTTATAAAGGTAAAGGTAAAGGTTCCCTTGCTCGAAAGCCAGTCGAGTCCGACTCTAGGGTTGCGGTGCTCATCTCCGTTTCCAAGCCGAAGAGCCAGCGCTGTCCGAAGACGTTTCCGTGGTCATGTGGCCGGCATGACTGAACACCAAGGCGCACGGAACGCTGTTACCTTCATCTACTTGCAATTTCTTGCTTTCGAACTGCTAGGTTGGCAGGAGCTGGAACTAGAGACAGGAGCTCACCCCGTCTTGTGGCACCCGGGTCTTGAACTGCTGAACTACTGACCTTCCACAGCCTGCAGTTCAGCGTCTTAACCACTTGAGCCACCGCACCCTGTTATACTGATGAGCAATAGGCAAGTTTCCTCAGTAGGGGAAATAGCATCTCCTTGGGGTATCTCAGGTCAGAAAAACTGGGGGGGGGTGCAGGGGGTTGCTGAAGCCCCCTCTCCCTGTCTCTCTGTGCCTGCTTTTGCTGCCAAGTCTCAGTTGGACTACCCTCCACCATGAAGTGCCCTGGCTGGCCCTCTCAGTCAGTCATGCTAAACCTAGCCCACCTCACAGGGTTGTTGTGAAAAGAAAGTAGGAGAACCACAAGAGTTGCCCCGACCTCTTTGGAGAAAGAGTGAGAGAGAAATGTGGACAGGATTCTTATCTCAGTCCCCTTCATTCAACTCATCTCCCCCCCTGCTAATTGTTTGCTAATTTATTGTTAATTGATTTTTAAAAATACAAAATAAAAATCACATCCTAATCTTCCTTTGGCCAGTTTGGTGTAGGGGTTAGGAGCACGGACTCTGATCTGGGAGAACCGGGTTTGATTCCCCACTCCTCCACATGCAGCTGCTGTGGTGTGGCCTTGGGCCAGAGTTCTCTCAGAGCTGTTCTCTCAGGAGCAGTCCTCGAAAGAGCTCTATCAGCCCCACTTACTTCATAGGGTGTCTGTTGTGGGAAGGGAAAGGAGACTGTAAGCCGCTCTGGGACGCCTTCGTGAAGGGCGGGGTATAAATCCAATCTCTTCCTCTTCTGCACCTCTGATCAAAGCTCAGAGCTGTAAACTCTGCTGCCCCTCCCCTCTTGGGAGCACCAGAGCAGTGCAGTTGCAGTCCTGGGCTACCGACCGGGAGACCCGGGTTCGAAACCTCACTCAGCCCCCAAGCCGATTGGGTGCCCTGGCCCAGAATCTCTCTCAGCCTCCCCCTCCTGGTGGAGGAGGAGGTAAGGAGAAAAGAGAGGAGGGGGAAATCATGCGAGGGAGCCTTCAGTGGGGCATTCCCCCTTGGCTCCCCCCACCCCCTCCCTCCCTCCCTCCCTCTCCCCATGACTCCCTTTGCTGGGGGGCCCAGAGGTGATGGAAAATCCCAGCTGGCTGCTCTCCTGGCACAGGTAGGCACCCTCCTCCTCCTCCACCCTAAGCTCGGAGCGAGGGCAAAGCGCTCCCAAGCACAGTTCGGGGCTTCCGGCAATGCCCCACAAGCAGTGTTCCCTCTAAGCTGAGTTAGTGTGAGCTAGCTCACAGTTTTTTAGCCTCCAGCTCACAGATTTTTGTCCTAGCTCAGGAAGGAGGGCTCCAGAGAAAACTAATTTATGCAGTAGTCAAATCGCTCGCTCACAACTTTAGTGCCAGTCGCTCACAAAGGAGAACTTTTGCTCACAAGACTCTGCAGCTTAGAGGGAACATTGCCCACGAGCCCTCCCTCGTTTGCCCTCCGCCTTCATTTCCCCGGAGGCGCCCCCTCCCCTTCGGGCGTGCCAGCCGGGCGATCCTGCCGGAGAGGCGCCCCTGCCTGCCGGCCTGCCGGGACCCACCTGTGGCCCAGAGGTTCTCCCGCATCCGGAAGGGTCCGTTCCGCTTGTCGCCCAGCGCGGGCGAGGAGGAGAGCGAGGAGGAGAAGAGGAGCAGGTACGCCAAGCCCCACAGCCGGAGCCGGACAGCGGCGCGTCCGGCGGCCGCCATGGGTGGCTCCCGAGCGGATCCTCGGCGGGCGGGCGGACGCCTGGCTCGGCTTCTCGGCGGCGGCCCAGACGGGAGTCTCAGTCTCAGCCCCTTCCCAGCTGCCCGCCGTCTCTCCCTTCCCGTCCAGGGCGCCGGCTGCTTAAATAGCGCAGCGTCGTCGGGGCGGAGACTGCTGCTGCCGCCGCCGCCAAAGGGGGCCGGCGGCGTGTGCGCGCAGGCAGGCAGGGTCGCTCTGGACCTCGCCAGACCAAGCAGGGGTGGAGAAAACAAGGCAGGGCTCGGCTCACGACCAGGCTCGGTCGTTTCGCAGACCAGGGCGCCTCTGAGCGCGTGCAGAGCGGAGCAGGAGAATCGGAGCGAGAATCGGGCTGGAGAGGCTCTCCGGGGCGCTGCCGAAGGAGGTCGGGAGAAACGTCGCCAGGGCTGGGCACCCACGGGGACCTCCGCCCGCCCCCAGCGCCTCCCTCCAAGCCCAGACTCTCAATCTGTGTCTCCCGCCTGTCAATTGGGGGAGAGCAGATCCGGGAGGGGGGGTCTCTTCCCGGCAGGGGGCGAGGCAGGCGGGGGGAGCAGGGAAGCCCTCGGGTCTGCTTGTGATTCCTCTCCCCCCCCCACCGGTGTTACCAGGCACAGCTGTTCCTCCAAGTCTCAGGACAGCCCCCTTCCCCCTGGCCCAGCCTCTGAGTCGGAACCTGCCCTCTAGCGCCAGAAGGAGCAGGAGCGCTCTGCACTCGCCCAGAGGCACCCTCCGCTACACTCCGGCAGAGAGCCAGTTTGGTGTCGTGGTTAAGTGCGCGGACTCTAATCTGGGAGAACCTGGTTTGATTCCCCACTCCTCCACTTGCACCTGCTGGATGACCTTGGGCAAGCCATAGTTCTGGCACAACTGTTCTCTCAAGAGCAGTCCTCAAAAGAGCTCTCTCAGCCCCGCCTACCTCACAGGGTGTCTGTTGTGGGGAGGGGAAGGGAGTTTTGGAAGCTGCTCTGAGACTCCTTTGGGTATTGAAGGGTGGGGTATAAATCCAATCTCTTCTTCTTCTGACTCCGAGAAACTGAAACGGGGCGGGTGGCCAGAGCTGCCCCTCCCAGCCCTTTAACCCTTCTGGGGTTCGAAATCTTTTTCTCTGTGGTGAATGGCATCGACTTGCAGAGCCTCACCTACCTCGCAGGGTTGTTGTGAGGATGAAACGGAGGAGGGGAGAGCGGTGTGAGTCGCTTTGGGGTCCCCATTAGGGGAGAAAGGCGGGGTATAAGTGAAGTAAATGGAAATGAATAAAGGAAAAGGGGCTGACCCGAGGGCGCCCCCTGCCGCACGGCTGGAGTACAGCAACCACCTACAGGGGGGGGGGACTCTGCCTGCTCCCTCTAGCAGGAGCCCCGAGTTTGGGGCTGGCTTCTTATAGGTCGCGGGCAGGTGCCATGCAAATGAGGTGCCTTGGCCCCGCCCCATCCTTCTGTCCTCTAAGGATGGGATGGGGGGAGGGGCAGAGGGGTCAGCAGCTGTAGCGGCCACCGTATTCATCTGATACAGCCCAGGTGTCACCAGAAATTTGCACCGGTGCCCAGCTTTCTGCATCGACTTGGATTTTATTTTTTAAAAGCCAAAGGATGCAAAGCTGGTCCAGGGGACAGATGCAAGACCTTCTGTCAGGAGCCACCAAAATATCCCCAAAGAGGAGGCAGGCTTTCAGGCAGTGTTCCCTCTAAGCTGAGTTAGTGTGAGTCCAAGGGACTCTCAAGAGTCTTCTCCAGCAGCTTAATTCGAAAGCATCTATTCTTCGGCACTCGGCCTTCTTCGTAGTCCAACTCTCGCAGCCATACATGACTACTGGGAATACCATTGCTTTGACCATATAGACTTTTGTTGGCAGGGTGATGTCTCTACTTTTTCTTATGCTTTCTAGGTTTGTTAGCTTTCCTCCTGAGGAGCAGGCGTCTTTTAATTTCATGGCTGTAGTCACTTTGTTATATTTTTAAGTTTGTTATACTCCGCTTTCTGACTACCCCACCACTTTGACAGCAGCTGCCAGCACAGCACGAGGATGTACCCTGTGTGACTGAAGCTTATCTGTGGCAATCATTCTGTGTCTGGCTCTGCCTCCTGGGGCAGCCATTTTGTGGCGAGCCTTTTGTTGCTGCGCCAATCGTGCCGTGTCAGCTTTCCAAGTGGACCTACAGGTTCAGAAAGGTTGGAGGACCTGCTTTGTGCCAGCAACTGTTCGGGGCAAAAGTTACGCAGCCTGTTGTTCAAGATGTTGTAATTCCGCTGTACACTGTGCTGGTCAGGCTGCACCTGGAGTATTGTGTGCCATTCTGGAGGCCTCACTTCAAAACGGACGTGGACAGAATGGAGCTGGTGCAGAGGAGGGCGATGAGGATGATCGGGGGCCTGGAGACCCAGCCCTGTGAGGAGAGGCTGAGGGACTTTGGAATGTGCAGCCTGGAGAAGAGGAGGCTGAGAGGGGACAGCTCTCTTGAAGTATGCAGGGGTCATTTCCTGCGGGAGCGCACAGGAGCGGAGCTCCGGCAGTAAGGAGCACAGGGGGTGGGCACATGTGACAAGCCCCGCCCCCTGCTCCCAGCAGCCTTCAGTCGGGCCACGAGGAGCAAGAAGCCGCCAGGTAAGTTGCAGAGCCCCTCCCCCCCCGGCCCGCCTTCAGGTACAAGCTCTCCCTCCTCTGTGAGGGCAGATCTGCAGTCCAGTGGAGCCTGAGCGGTGGGTGTTGCCTTCTGACACACTTCCGGTGATGTCAGGGGATGTGACATATGCAAATAAGTTATGCTAATAAGTTATGCTAATGAGCCTCCTGCACCTCTCTTTCTACGAAATGACCCCTGGAAGTATGTGAAGGGCTGTCGCTTCGAGGACGGCAGGGAGCTGTTCCTCTTGGCAGCAGAGGAGAGGACTCACAATAAAGTGTTTAAATTAAGGGTGGGAAGGTACTGGCTGGATCTTAGGGGAAACTTTTTTTTACAGGAAGAGTTGTGCAACAGTGGAATTGGCTGCCTAGGGAGGTGGCGAGCTCACTGGCCCTCTTTAAGCAGCGGCTGGAGAAACACTTGTCAGGGATGCCCTAGGCTGATCCTGCATCGAGCAGGGGGCAGGGTTGCCAGCTCTGGGTTGGAAAATCCCTGGAGACTTTGGGGGTGGAGCCGGGAGAGGGCGGGGTTTGGGGAGGGGAGGGGCCTCCGCAGGGTACAATCCCTTCAAAGCCGCCATTTCATCCAGGGGAGCTGAACTCTGTCAGCTGGAGATCAGTTGTAAAAGCGGGAGATCTCCAGGCCCCACCTGGAGACTGGCAACCCTAGTGGGGGTTGGACTAGATGGCCTGTGTAGCCCCCTTCCAACTCTGTGATTCTATGATTCATGTACAAACAATGGTTTTAAAAAACGGAATAGAGGCCGGTAGCGAAGGGCGCTCAGTCCTGTGCCCTCCTGTGTTCACTGAATTTCTTGAAGTAGAGTTTTAACAGACGTCTGGCTCGACATTCCTCGTTCTTCTCACTCGGGTCTATCTTTAGGTAAAAAAATTGTTATCTTTAAATGTCTGGCAATCGGTGTTTGTTCAACAAAAGAAGTCCTTACGGCACACAGGACAAACTTTACAATACTGAAATGAAAACAGATCTGAAAGCGAAGCCATCCCCCCAGAAATCTGCCAAGGACTTTCCCATTGCGTAACTGTATAAACGGAGATCAAAAATACCTCCCAACACAGGAGCCTGTCGAAAAGGCCGTCTGAGTTGCCATGCAACCAGAATCTCCCAGAAGCCCTTGGAGTACCTTAGTGGGGCAGGCCGAGGGCTGATAGAGAAGTTCCCAATGGGGGGGGGGGGAGAACTCCACGGAGCCCAGAGGCCAGCCAGAGTATATAGAACAAGAGGGAGGAAGTAATTGGAGAACCTTAAAGGATGCGTAGCTCTTGGTTAAAAAGTGCTGTGCTTATGTCTTCTTCTGAGAGCCGTGGATTGTCGATGTTTGGGGATTAAAGTCTGAGATCTGGGGGTGAAGGGGTGGGCTCCAGGCCTGAGCTAAGCCCCTACCTCCCGGCTCTGGAGGTGTTGGTCGGGGATTCTGAACCGGAAAGGCCGCTGTAGGATGAACACAAGGCCAACGTGCGGAGAGACTGGGATTAAGGGGTGCCAATTACCAGGTCGTCTGGAGGAAGCCACAACTCGCCAGTCCCAGGGGCAATTACCGGCAGCATCCAAGTCCCAGGGGCAATTACCGGCAGCATCCAAGCATGTCTGACAAGATGCAGGATGCCTCCGTGAGATTACCTAGCTGAGGACGAAATGGGGACCTTGTTACGCCGCTGTGACAAGCAGTGAACTGGCACAGGCGAGACACGGCGGTGGCGGAGGGTGGATTTGCTCGAACACTTCTTTAAACAGACCCCCAGGGACTGAAACTAGGATAAGGTTCAGAGGGGGTGGTGGGGAGAAACAGAACTTCCTGACCTGCCTTACAGGAAAAGCCGCAACCATCTCGCCAATGCTTGAACAGGAGAAATTATATGACTATAGGAAGTATGATATGGGCTTGTTTTCTGTTGCCCTGGAAGGTCGGATCAGGACCAATGGGTTAAAATTAAGTCCAAAGAGTTTCTGGCTAAACATTAGGAAGAGCTTCCTGACTCTTAAGAGTGGTTCCTCAGTGTGACAGGCTTCCTCGGGAGGTGGTGGGCTCTCCTTCTTGGGAGGTTTTCAAACATTGGCTTAGAGGGCCATCTGATATCAATGTTGATTCTATGACTCACTATTGATTAGAAGAAGAAGAAGAGGAAGAGATTGGATTTATATCCCACCCTTCACTACCCAAAGGTGTCTCAGAGCGGCTTACAAACTCCTTTCCCCCCCTCCCCACAACAGACACCCTGTGAGGTAAAAGAAGGAGAAGAGATTGGATTCATACCCCGCCCTTCACTACCCAAAGGTGTCTCAGAGCGGCTTACAAACTCCTTTCCCCCCCCTCCCCACAACAGACAGCCTGTGAGGTA